TATTCAAATAAAGCAGACACCAGCTGTTTCCGTACCTCATTTGCATTTTCTGTACATACTTTTTCCTTTTACTGTCCGTAAATGTTATCTGACCATGTGGCAGTCCTGGAGTCTTTCTGAATGTGTTCTGGTTCCGGGGGCTGCCTGATTCATCGTTCTTTGCTCAAACTCTTTAATTTAATTGTTCTACAGTTTTTCTTTTAACGCCATCATGAGGATTGTAGGACATAACTCACTGAGAATATGACATTACATATGTAAATTATAAGGCAATATTTCACTAATTGAGTATTTTCAAAAAAAGATATAAACCATATAATGATATAAATGATAGTCTCATAAAGAATAACTTATTCGTATGCAGTATCCAGATTATCCAGATTCTTTTTTTTTTTTTTCCGAGACAGAGTCTTGCTCTGTCACCCAGGCTGGAGTGCAGTGGCGCTATCTCCACTCACTGCAACCTCCGCCTCCCGGATTCAAGCAATTCTCCTGTCTCAGCCTCTTGAGTAGCTGGGACTACCGGCACATGCCACCATGTCCAGATAATTTTTGTGTTTTTAGTAGAGACAGGGTTTCACCATGTTGGCCAGGCTGGTCTTGAACTCCTGACCTCATGATCCGCCTGTCTCAGCCTCCCAAAGTGCTGGGATTACAGGCATGAGCCACCGTGCCTGGCCCAGATTCTTAAATTTATAACTTGTAATGGCTATAATTTGGTTAACTCCAATCAAGAGGAAATACTTCAAAAACTTATCAGTGTCTTTCAACAGTTGTTATAACGTATACCTAATCAATGTTTATCTATTCAGTACATGTTAAATCTGTGGAATAGACTGAAAATGAAGTCTACAGTGATTTATTGCTTTTGGACATGCTTCGTCTCCTTGGGCCTTCACAAAAGATATGGAGACACAATTTCACCCCAGAGAGGAAAGAAGACTTGGTAATTTTGTTCAGTAGTTTTGCCAGGAGTTCTTTTAACCCATCCTCTGGATTTTACCCAAGGTTTACGCTGCAGACCAGCATAATGATCACATTGCAAAAATCTCAAACCACTTTTACAATGTTTTATTTATTTAAAAAGCGAAACAAAAGTGTAAAGCTTCAATATTATAGTCATAGTGGTCTAATATCTCTACTTTCCCCCTCATTACCAGTTTTTACTTATTTTTATAACCCTTTAAAATATTCCTTTTTCCTGTAATAGGCATCCCTCTCTCAGATCCAAACATCGCTCAGTTTAGCAGAAACATCAAGGAACATGGGTAAAGTAGAAATACCGTGCTCGACATCTTCCCTGATATTTCCTGAACTTGTTTCTCAAAAGTATCCCTAATGACAGGAAAGAGGATCTGTACCTACAGGGGTTAAAGGGTCAGGCAGCTTTCACTTTTTGGAGGGGAATTTACTAAGTCCTCATCATTCCTGATGACTTTGTGCATGTTATGGAATGTCGTTCCTCCTTTCCATCTCTTCTGCATCCAGCAAAATCCACACTTCCATCTAGACCCAGCACTCTGAGGCCATCCCCTAAGTCTCATGAATATAGAGTATTTTTTATTTTGCCATTTTCATCCAGTTGATTTGACCGTAAGTGTATTAATTATCTGTTGCTATGTAACAAATTACTTCAGAACTTAGTGGCATAAAGCAACAAATGTGTATTTATTTCCTGAGGGCCAGGAGTTTGGGAGCAGCTTAGCTGGGTGACTCTGGCAGAGAGTCTCTCGTGGGGATGCAGTCAAGACATTGGCCAGTAGGGAGTCATCTGAAAGTGTGACTGGGAATGGAGGATCCATTTCTAAGATGGCTCATTCATTCACACGGCTGTTAGTGAGAGGCCTCAGCTACTCATCACATAAGCTTTTCCACATAGTTTCTTAGGCAACATCATAACATAGCAGCTGACTTCCTGATAGGAGACTAATCCAAGAAATACAAGGTATCTGACCAAAATGGAAGCCATGATGTATTTTATTACCTAACCCCAGAATTGATAAAAACATCCATGTTCTATTGGTTACACAGACGAATCCCGGCACAATGTGAGAGGGGAATATACAAGGGTGTAAGTACCAGGAGGTGGGGCTTGTTGAGAGCCATCTTGCTGGCTGCTAACACACCAAAAAAGTTTTTGCTTCCATAATTCTGAATTAACAGAGTTATATTAACATGGATGCATTTTTTTTGAGAAAATGTTTTCTGGAATAAGCTCCATGAAACCAATTAAATGTCTTGATCAATTTTCTATACAGCTCAAGTATCCTATTTCTAATTGTATTTTCATATTTATATTGCTTACTTAATGTATTTTCTTGAATTTTTTTCCGCATTTGTTTCCTAAGATGTTGTTTGTTGCTCAGGTTTACTAGGGCTTTTTGCTAATCAGTTTTACTATCATGAGTTTTCTGTTGTGGCTTTTAGATCTATCAAGTCAAAATTTCCATCAAGTCAAATTTTCCAAAGCTAGGTTGAACAGATGTAACTTTGGTGAAGACTGATTCTATACCGATATTTATCAGTAACTCCAATTTTGTATTATGAACAGTTTTAACTATAGTAATTTTCATCCTATGGTAATTATTTCTGTCTGTAATTTTCCTTATGAGTTGGATTAAAGGCCACTATTTGGTAGTTATTCCTTAGCTAATCTATGAAGTAGTGGCAAGTAATCTCAGGGGTTCAGAATTGCTTCACTGTCCAGGAAGGTCCTATAGCAGAATTCACTAACTTTGTTATCCATCTTTCTGTGCCCTGTATTCCAGCTGCCCTCACCATCACTGAAGGAATATATAAGCAATATCCCTGGCATCAAAACACAAAAGGTTGAAGTGTTCCCCAAGGGTTAAAGTGAACCCTCAATCGCCTTACCTCCTCTTCCTAAGTGCGACTTTTCCCCATCCTTGCACCTGACGCTTACCCAGTGAAAACTCGAAAGTTGTTGACATCTGTGAGCTTTAATCAAATTAGGGCTACCAGCAGGTTAAAGGAAAAATCAGGTTTTTGAGGGCCAAAAAACACATTAGCCTTTTTCTTCCTTAAAGTTTTCTGAGCCTGGGTCCTGGAACCAAGTGCTCCTCCTATTATGTGTTTATTGAATAAATTAACAAATGTATGAGCAAATTTTTAAAAACTGGCTAATTCCTGAGCTCCATGAAGGGCATTAGTAAATCTTTTGAGGACCTACATTTTTTAATCTGCAAATGATGCTTTCATTGTTGTATGACTGAGAAACTCTCAACACGGAAACACCTCATTTTAACTTAACATGATTGTGCTACCACGGACTTTAGATTATTTTTCCTAATAAATGAATTCTACAGAAATGACAGTTCCCTGCCTTTTCTCCTAATCCATTTATTGGATTGATGTTCCATGAATTTTCAATACTTTACATACATTATAACAAGGTCAACTGTGACCTCCTTTCACCCCTTCTTGGAGAATTTCCTTCAACCGTGTGTGCTCAGGCCCTCTTTTGCTCTCTCTCTTCCCAAAGGGAACCCTTTTATAAGCTGAGATGAACCATTTAGATTCTCCCTTTGGAAATGGTCAAGCTGAGAAACCCAAACTGAGTTGTATGATCCTGGCACTGAAGGTTCTCCAGCTAAGTCATAACATGCTTTGTGGTCTGTGTTTCAGAGAGATGAATGTAGGTGAGCTGTATCTGGGGAAGGGAGCTGGTACCAGGCCGATTACAGTCACCACGGAAAGAGGTGAGGAGAGCCACCAGGTACCTGCAGTGGAAATAAATTGAAAAACCACTTGGTGGTAACTGGACCGAAGAGGGGGTTTGTGGAAAGAACAATCAAAGACACAGGAGTTCAATCTGGGTGACTGCTGGGGACACAGATGCCTTTAAAACATAGATCTCAGAAAGCATTGCCCCTTTGAGAGTCTAGATGTTCAGCAGGCAACTCAAAACGGGGAATTCAAACAAGCCTCCCTTTGTGACTTAATATGTTCTTTTAAAAATTGTACTGTATTAACAGTTTGATAGGAAAGCAATAGAATTACACTGTTACAGAGTGTTAAAGAAGGAAGAAACTAATTCTACCGTTACCGTTTTATGATTTTTTCCAGTCATTTTCCGGATGTTTAAAAATATGTACTATTGGGCCGGGCGCCGTGGCTCAAGCCTGTAATCCCAGCACTTTGGGAGGCCGAGACGGGCGGATCACGAGGTCAGGAGATCGAGACCATCCTGGCTAACACGGTGAAACCCCGTCCCTACTAAAAGATAGAAAAATATAGCCGGGCGAGGTGGCGGGCGCCTGTAGTCCCAGTTACTCGGGAGGCTGAGGCAGGAGAATGGCGTAAACCCGGGAGGCGGAGCTTGCAGTGAGCTGAGATCCGGCCACTGCACTCCAGCCTGGGCGACAGAGCGAGACTCCCTCTCAAAAAAAAAAGAAAAGAAAAAAAAATGTACTATTAGATTGCTTTTAAAGAAAAATGTTAATTTTGGGTAAGCCAACATTTCTGAGTCTAGGGTTTCCAAAACTAAGGCTTTTGGAGACGTGCTGGGTCAAAAATAGAAGTTCGGTAAATACTTGCTCAATAATGGCAGTACTGATGGTCTGGAACACTAAATATAAATAAAAATGTTTTCGTTTTTGAGGATTTAAATGTTTCCTTAACTTGAACGTGAAACAGATTTTTGTTTGTTTTGCTGTAACGAGAGAAGAAGGAACAAGAGAGTAACTGACAGGGTGAAGCAACCTCTCCCAGAAACTTTTAGACGCAAACGCCCTCAAACCCGGATCATTGGAAAGTAACGCCAATGGAGGAGAGAACCAGCGCACGCGCAGCACCAAGGCGGCCGCCGTCACCCCGCCCCGGGGCTGTCTCCGCCCCCGCCCTCTCTCAGTCGCCCCGCCCCCGGGACTGACTCCACCCCCGCCTCTCTCAGTCGCCCCGGCCCCGGGGCTGTCTCCGCCCCCGCCCTCTCTCAGTCGCCCCGCCCTGGGGGCGGTCTCCGTCCCTGTCCTCTCTCCGCGTCCCGGGTTCCGGGGGAAGTGTGTTACGGGGACACTGGCCCGACTACTTTCGTTCCGTCCTCCATCGCTCTCTCCCGTGCAATGGCGTCCGGGCTGGTAAGAGTGCTGCAGCAGGGGCCTCGCTGCCTCCTTGCTCCAGTCGTCCCCAAGCTGGTCCCTCCGGTTCGGGGAGTGAAGAAGGGATTCCGCGCCGCCTTCCGCTTCCAGAAGGAGTTAGAGCGGCTGCGCCTTCTGCGGTGCCCGCCGCCGCCCGTGCGCCGGTAGGAGACACCTCGGGAAGGGGTGTCAGGGTGGCGGTCGCAGACACGGGGTCTTCCTCCCGCGGCGTTGTGCCAGCGGCTGATGCGCCCCAGGATTAAGCTTTAGGAAGTTTGCGATAGAGACACCCGTGAGCTGTGGGCGCGTGGCCTGAGGCAAAGAAAATGGATTTGTGCCGCAGGTGGTAGCTTCAGGCTGCTCCCGACGTTTTGAAACTACCATTTAGGATTTTGTCTACTGGAAATTGGGAGAAATGGGGCTGGCCGGAGGGTCTTCCTTATGTGGACTTGGGTGTTGTAGCCCCCATTTGTAATACCTGAGAATTCCGATAAGCGAGAAGAAAGCAGTCCACAGCATTGTAAATTAAGGAGAAAAAAAAAATTAATCTACAACCTGAAGTCTACTGTCTAGAGAAAAAGGAAAAAAAGTTAGCTTTCGATTTTTGCCCTAATTAATGTTGTTCTGGTAACAGGTTTGGCAGAGAGACAGGTTTTTATGGCTTCAAATCAGATCATACCTAATTTAAATTCCTTCATCTTTTTCTCTTTAATAACGTGTCTTTGACATGTTGTCATGGCATTACAAAGAAATGTACCTCACTCTTTTTTATGGCTCTGTTTATGGGCTTTTGAGCTCCATATTATTGCCATTAAAACCTGTGTAACAGCGTGTATCTTTTATTTCACCTTTGGGGATGCATATGTAGTATGTAATTTTGAATGCTATTAGTACTTTAACGTTGCCCTCCAAAAAATGTTGATCCACTTTGTACTCCTACCAATAGGGACAGTCTTCTAACAGATAAGTTTATGGCAAAAAATAAAATCTCTTCTTAATTCCCATTCCCTTGTTTATTATAAGGTTAAGTATTTTAGGCTGTCAAAGTTGGAAGAAACTTTATGGTTTGTACAGATTATATAGGTGTATATATTATATGTATATCTTATGACTTTCAACCCAGCTTTTTATACTTTGCTTCCCTTTGTTTCTTAAAGGGGTTTTATATTGTGTTACGTGTAAGGAATCCAGAGATGACTTAAAGTATACAGGAGGATGTGCATAGGTTATATGCAAATACAGGTATACCTCATACATATTGTAGGGTTGGTTCTAGATCACGGCAATAAAACGAGTCACGTGACTTTTTAAATTTCCCAGTGCATACCTAAGTTATGTTTATACTATTCTGTAGTTTATTAAGTATGCAGTAGTATTGTCTAAAAAGCAATGTATGTACCTTAATTTAAAATACTTCATTGCAAAAAAATGCTAACACAGACACAAAGTGAGCACATGCAGAATTGCTACAAACCTTCAATTTGTAAAAATAAAATGCAATAAATCTGTGAAGCACAATAGACCAAAGTACAGTGAAATGAAGTGTGCCTGTACTACACCATTTATATGGGAGACTGGAGCATCCATGAATTTCAGTATTCAGGAGAGTCCTTGGAACCAGTTCCCCACAGATATTGAGGGATGACCGTAAATATAACATACCTAGTGTTTATGGCTTGAATCTGTGAAATTATCATTTATGTTTCATACTTAGGTATAAAACATAGTTTCATGATTAGAGCAGAAATAAGGAACCTAAAAGTTAGGCTAATGGCTTAGTCTTTTATGTTGAAGAACCAATTTCATGTGACAATTGGATCAACGGGAAAATTAATCCGATCATATATGTAGAATATAGCAAGGGACTTCCAGTATTTATCTGACTTCAGTCTTAACATTTAGAATATCAGCCTGGCATTAAAAAGAAATATAACCTTCTTTCATTTCCTTTATATAATTAGTAACATTACAACACAGTGAAAAATTTTTATATCACAGTAAGAGGTTGTTCTCTTTACCATCTCTTACTATCTTTACATTTTCAGTTCCGAGAAGCCGAACTGGGATTACCATGCAGAAATACAAGCTTTTGGACATCGGTTACAGGAAAACTTTTCCTTAGATCTTCTCAAAACTGCATTTGTTAATAGCTGCTATATTAAAAGTGAGGAGGCCAAGCGCCAGCGACTTGGGATAGAGAAAGAAGCTGTACTTCTGAATCTTAAAAGTAATCAGGAACTATCTGAACAAGGGACATCTTTTTCACAGACTTGCCTCACACAGTTTCTTGAAGACGAGTTCCCAGACTTGCCCACTGAAGGCATCAGAAATCTTGTTGACTTTCTCACTGGTGAGGAAGTCGTGTGTCACGTGGCTAGAAACTTGGCTGTGGAGCAGTTAACACTGAGTGAGGAATTCCCAGTGCCCCCGACTGTATTACAGCAAACTTTCTTTGCAGTTATTGGAGCCCTGTTACAGAGCAGTGGACCCGAGAGGACTGCACTTTTTATCAGGGTACGTAATTATTAATTGGACATGCTTGAGAAAGACAGAAGGGAAAATTTTCTTTTGTAATTTGCTTCTTTGATACATCACCTTGGAAGTGAATGTTTGTCCCAAGAAAAACTGAGAAAAACCTAAAACTTTTTTATGGAAGGGCTGTAATTATTCCAGTTGTCTCTTATTATGGATATCATAAAAAGTGAATATTAAATTGTGGGTTGTGATTTCTGAAGGACCACAAGCCATGTCGTCTTTAAGTTTACATCCTTAGGGCCAAGGATACTGCCTGCATGAGAGATACTCAGTAGATGTTTGGTGAATGAATGAAGTCAAAGGACAGTATGCAGAGGCCTGTGCTTCAGTACCAGCTGCTGTCTGCTCTTCCAAGTGATAAATCTTGGATTTCAAGTCCCTCTAATGCCTAACTCTTTGTTAGCTAGTGACTTAGCTAATTCGGTTTCTTAATTGGTACAACTTGACTCTCACTATCCTTTTGTAATTTATTAACTGGGAGAAGTTTTATCCTCTGCCATTGGATGAAAACATGAGATTTTGTTCACTTTTTGGTAATAGAGAGTCCACACAATCTCTTTAAGTCATAAAGACAGTTTTGATTCAAGCATCTATCTGACTGACATTCAGTCCTTAAAGCAGCATCACATGCTATTGGAATCTGTTCATTTAGTTTTGATACCAAGTTTGATAATTTTGTTAGGAGAATATCTGTATTTACTGACACTTCAGACTTTGTTCATGGGTAAGACCTATCTTTCTCCCCCGAATTAGTTTTTTCTATAGAAATTCTGACAAAGTCCTCTTTGATTTCCATTCTCTTTACTATAACCTCTGTGGAGTTTAAATAATTTTTGGTCACCATTTTGAAATTCTATAAGGTAGTCATGAAACTATGTTGGAAATATTTACCATATTTTAATGCCTCTTAACAGTTCCAAGTAAAGATCTTACGAAACATAGATAATTCAAATATCTGTTTATAAGTTGAGCTTTGATGTCTCTCATAGTAGAATTGACAGGTTTGGATTGTCCTGTTTCATTTGTTCATCCACTTAATGTTGAGTGCCTTAGTATGGGCCAGGCGCTCTGCTGAGCTCTGGAGCCACAATCTAAATAGGATTTGATCCTACTCACAGCTCGTTAGTTAGATGGAATGCAATGTGGAAGTGCTTTCCTAGAGGTGTTAAGGCGCAGAGTGAATTCAGAGTTCAGGCAACAACCAACTTTAGTAAGGGTAGGAAAGGTTTTATAGAAGCGATTTTTGCCCGTAAAAAAGATGTTTTGGGAAGACAATGTCAAGGGTGAGCGTGTGCTTGGGAACTACAGTTAATTTTTTGTGACTGAATCATATTGCATTTGGAGAAGTGATCAAAGATGAGTCTGGACCTTCAAGAGCCAGTGTACAGAAGAGCCAACAGTGTTACTCAGAAAGTGGTTTGGGCGTCAGTATCAGCGTCACTGGAGAACTTGATAGAAATGCAGATTCTCAGGCACCCCCTCAGAGTACATAATCTCTGGGAGTAGGACCTAGGAATCTTTTTTTTTTTTTTGAGACAGTCTGCTTTGTTGCACAGGCTGGAGTGCAGTGATGCGATCTCATCTCACTGCAAGCTCCGCCTCCCGGGTTCACACAATTCTCCTGCCTCAGCCTCCCAAGTAGCTGGGACTACAGGCACCCGCCACCATGCCTGGCTAATTTTTTCTATTTTTAGTAGAGACGGGGTTTCACTGTGTTAGCCAGGATGGTCTCGATCTCCTGACCTCGTGATCCACCCGCCTCGGCCTCCCAAAGTGCTGGGATTACAGGCGTGAGCCACCGCCCCCAGCCGGAATCTTATTTTAAGTAGCTCTCCAGGTGATATCTCTGCATCTGGAAATGAGAACAGCACTCTTAGCCATGCTATGGAGTATGTATTTTGATCTTGTATAGTGACAGCTGGAGTTGTTCTAAGCGGGAGGTTTTTAATGATCAAATGCGCATTTTAGAAACGTCATTTCTTCATACCCCTTCCCTATTCTGGGGAGGTGAGATTGGAGTATTCAACTTACACCCTACTAGAAAGTTCTAATAATAAATTAGTAAGACCAGGAGCAAATAGCAAAAAATAGAAGGTAATCACGTAAGAAAAATTGAGCTTTCTTTCTATATTCCTACTAATATCTTCGATGGTGGGAAAGAGTTGTGTTTCCTTACCTTACACTTGGTTATTCTATATGACAGATAGCAGTTCAGGCATATCTACTTCTGTACATTAAAACATTTCAAAATCCCCTACTGAGAATGGATTTATAAATTTTTTTTTTTGAGACAGTGTCTCACTCTGTTGTCCAGGCTGCAGTGCAGTGGCACAATCACAGCACACTGCAGCCTCGACTTCCTGGGCTCAAGCCATCCTCCTATGTCAGCTTGCCTAGTAGCTGGGACCACAGGCATGCACCACTATGTCCAGCTAAATTTTTTTTTTGTAGAAACGCGATCTCATTATGGTGTTCAGGCTGGTCTTGAACTCCTGATCTCAAGTGATTGATCCTCCCACCTCGGCCTCCCAGAGTGCTGGGATTATAGGTATCAGCCACCATGCCTGGCCTAATATTTTTTATTAATGAAGTTGAAAGTGTTCTGGTGCTTGGAGGAGTGTTGTAATGAATTGACTTCATTTCATGAACTAAGGGGTCTTTTCCCTCCTGCCTCCATCCATCCATCCATCCTGTTATCGTATTACTAATGTTTGTTAATACAAGTTAATTGGAATATGTAAATTGCTGTAAATTAATGTTTGCTTCCATAGTTTCTATACAGCATAATGCTTTTTACTGGCAAAATCAATTCTGCTTTGAATGTTCATAATTTCTCAGTTATCTTAGTCATATAAATAATTATTAGTATGTTACAGTTTTAAAAGTTTATGTGAAATTATTAAGCGATTTTTAAAAAATTATTTATTATTATTTTTTGAGGCAGAGTCTTGCCGTGTTGCCCAGGCTGAAGTGCTGTGGTAGCATGATCTTGGCTGACTGCAACCTGCACCTCCCAGGTTCAAGTGATTCTTGCACCTCAGTCTCCCTTCTAGCTGGGTTTACAGGCGTGCACCATCACGCCTGGCTAATTTTTGTATTTTTAGTAGTGACAGGGTTTCACCATGTTGGCCAGGCTAGTCTCAAACTCCTGGCCTCAAGTGATCTGCCTGCCTCGGTCCCCCAAAGTCCTGGGATTACAGGTGTGAGCCACCTTGCCCGGCCAAGTTTTTAAAAACATTATTAATGGAGGAAATATTGTTATCTAGAGGCTCTGAGTGCCATTTTACATGAGTTTCTGTAAGAAGTTACTACTTTTTATTTGTTAACTTAATTCTTTAAATATTTTTTTTTTTAGTAGTAGGAATATAATTCTGAATTATAAGATAGGGCAGGGTGTGGTGACTAATGCCTATAATTCCAGTACTTTGAGAAGCCAAGGCAGGAGGATCCTTTCAGGCTAGGAGTTGAGACCAACCTGGGCAACTTATGGAGACCTTGTCTCTACAAAAAATTTAAAAACTAGCCAGGTATGGTGGTGTGCACCTGTAGTCTCAGCTGCTGAAGAGGCCGAGCTGGGAGGATTGCTTGAGCCCAGTAGTCCGAGGTTTCGGTGTACTTGTGATCACACCTCTGCACTCTAGCCTAGGCAACAGAGTGAAGCCCTGTCTCAAAAAAGAAAAAAAAAAATTACAGGATTCTACCTTCTGTGGAATTTTGGTAGATCATAGTACTTGAAATAGGTTTCTTGGACTTTCAAGTTTTTTTAATCCAACTATGATTTTTGTAATAAAATGTGTGTAAAAACTGGGGGAATGAAAAAGAATAGTACATTTTTGTCTTTCGTTTCCCATTAAGTTTTAAATTTCTGTTAAAAATGTACTCTGTGGCTTCTCTAATTTAAAAAGTGTAAAGAATATATTTTGAATTGTGGTCCTATTGTTCTTTCTACTAATTAAAATGTATAAATTGTATTTTTATATGTAGGACTTCTTAATTACTCAAATGACTGGAAAAGAGCTCTTTGAGATGTGGAAGATAATAGATCCCATGGGGCTATTGGTAGAAGAACTGAAGAAAAGGAATATTTCAGCCCCTGAATCAAGACTTACAAGGCAGTCTGGTGGCACCACAGCTTTGCCTTTGTATTTTGTTGGCTTATACTGGTTAGTGAAATTTTAATCATAACTTTATAACTTTGAGGAAATCCTAAAAACAGACTCCTTACAAAGCCTTAAAAACAGACTCTTCACATTCCATAAGGAATGTTAACATAACCTCTTCAAATTCCGTAACGTAACTTCTAATTGCATTAAAAGATTTAAAAAAAAATCTCTTCCCCATGTTATTATTTACTACTTCCCTTCCTGCTAGTTATGCTTAGGGGAAGAATCTGAGTTTTGCTAATAGTGGCTTTTGTCAGCCAATAATATTTGCTGTAGACTTTCAGTATGTTATCTTAAATTTTTCTGTGTGAAAGTACAAATGTTGACTTGTTCATGTTACAGATTGAACCTTAATCCATTCTTGTCAGTAGCTTCAACTGAGCCTAGATCTGGAAAAGGAAGGGCCTTAGTTATCCATCAAAATGTATAAATCAACCCATGTTGAGAGCTTTTTAGTTTTTTTTTTTTTTTTTGAGACGGAGTCTCGCTCTGTCACCCAGGGTGGAGTGCAGTGGCCAGATCTCAACTCACTGCAAGCTCCTCCTCCCGGGTTCACACCATTCTTCTGCCTCAGCCTCCCAAGTAGCTGGGACTACAGGCGCCCGCCACCTCGCCCGGCTAGTTTTTTGTATTTTTTTAGGAGAGACGGGGTTTCACCGTGGTAGCCAGGATGGTCTGCATCTCCTGACCTCGTGATCCGCCAGTCTCGGCCTCCCAAAGTGCTGGGATTACAGGCCCGGCCAGAGAGCTTTTTAGTTTTGTTAGTAAAAAGTTGACCTGCCCCAAATTAATCTCAGATGTTAAGATTAAAGTGTTAAATGTAAATAGTGAATATTTAAAATAGCTAGATTAAGATTTAGGTAAATATTTTTCTAATCCTTGTATCACAAAAAGACTTTATAAGTATAAAAGAAATAGAAGTTACCACGTGGGGAAAATGGATAGTGTTGTAAAAAGTTTTATTTATTGAAATGCAAAAACAGTGAGCTACTCTTTGTTACTTGTCTGTTTGGCAAACCTTTTAAACATATCTTTTATCATCAGTTTATACACACTGCTGATAGGAAAACAATGTACCATATTTCTGTGAATAATTTTGACGAAATGCCAAGCATCTTAAAATTTTTTATGTTCTTTGATTTTGGTATTTCAACTTTTGGTTGTTTGCCTTAAATTTGCAGACAAATTTTGTGAACAAAGACATTTGTTGTTTACCTCTTTATGCTCCATACCTTGAACAGTTGCTGGGACGTGGTGGTCAGTAAATAGTTGAACTGAAAAACAATTAGAAATAAATTTGATATTCCACGAGAGGGAAATGATACATGTACATGATGTAATATATAGTACAGCTATTACAGGCAACACTTTAAAAGAATTTTTAATGAGATTGGGATATTTTAGAGAATAATCTTTTATCTAAAAAAAAATATAAGAAGTCATTTGCCGTATCATTACAGTGATTACTGTTGGGTAGTTGTGCTTTTGTAGATTTTACATAATGACTTTAAAACATGATCAATGATAAAACCAGCAACGTTAGACTAAAAACAAAATTCTATGCTTGTTATTCACTTTAAGATGACTTTTTCTGTTTCTCAAGATTTGTGCAAATTTGTGTTTATTATTATAAAGTTTAACTTATATAACATTTGTTTCATTTCCAATTATTGTCATAACAGATGTTTTTTAGCAAATTTATTGTTGTTGTTTGTGTAGCTTCACTAGTTTTTCTTTAATTTGGCTTCAGTCTTCACTTTCAAATCAGTTTATATCGAATCCGATTTAGTAAATGCAGTTGCTGTGCATGAAACTTTCTGGAGATGCTTCTTTTAATGGCACAGATGAAATTTTAGGTCAGAAAATTTCCAGGAAGTAGTTAAATATATTTCAGAAGTAGCAAAACAAAAAGGATTATAGTTATTTGATGTGCACATTCTACATTCTCTGCTCCCTTGAAGGAACATTTCACATTTTTTAAGAAGATAAATTGTTATGATATAGAAATACCAATAAAGCAGAGGAATACCTACATTAGATTTATCAATAGAATACTCATAGCCAACATTGAGTGTTACCTCACTTGGAAATAAATTAGACTGGGTTAGAAATATATAAAATAATTTTAAAATCTGAGCCTGTTTTGAAGCTCCTTTTTTTTTTATTTCATTTCATTTTTTTTTTTTTTTTTTTGGAGGTCTCACTATGTTGTGCAGTCTGATCTCGAACTCCTGGGCTCAAGCAATCCTCCTGCTTTGGTCTCCCAAAGTGTTGGTGTTAAAGGTGTGAGCCATGGGGTGGCCAACGTGGGCGGATCACAAGGTCAGGAGATGGAGACCATCCTGGCTAACACGGTGAAATGCCCATCTCTACTAAAGCAATAGCAAAAAGCTAGCCTGGGGTGGTGCAGGGCACCTGTGTCCTAGCTACTTGGGAGGCTAAGGTGGGAGAATGGGCTGGGAGCGCCGGATCGCGGCTGCACCCGCTGAGCTGTAGACCAGTGCGAGATGCTTTCCCCAAAAAAAAAGGAAAAAAAAAAAAGTGTGACCCATCACGCCTGGCCTAAAGTTCTTAATTTGAAGTATAGAACTGGTTTCTCATTTGTGTTAAAGTTTAGATGACAAACTCAAAAGGCATAATTTTTTCAACAGAATCTTTTCCCAAGTTATGTCACACATTAAAAATAAAAATAGTCATAATTCCTGATAATATTTTTACTAGTTTCAGGGTTTTGTAAGGAGATACTTATTTACATATTCTTCCAATTCTCTTATCAACAATTGAAAACATAGATACTACTTGCTTTTTTGACTTGATAGAGTTGTATATATTTCTAATGAAACATGAGTGTATCTTTGTCTAATTACCATATGTAATGAACTTGCAACAAATCTAGTTAAAATCCAAAAGATGATCTATCAAAGCTATTGTGTTACTTCTAATGTGTGTTATTGAAATAAGATGTAGATGGCATAATTGCTTTATAACTGCTTTGTGTACTGTCTTACGATATTCCATGTAATTTAAGACTACTATTTGTTCTCTTTCTAGTGATAAAAAGTTGATTGCAGAAGGACCTGGGGAAACAGTATTGGTTGCAGAAGAAGAGGCTGCTCGAGTGGCCCTTAGAAAACTTTATGGATTCACAGAGAATAGACGACCTTGGAACTATTCCAAGCCCAAAGAAACCTTGAGAGCAGAGAAGAGCATCACTGCCAGCTAGCCAGCCATGAATGTGGCAGCCTGAAACTTGAGACTGAAAGTGAGATAAATGTCAAAGGTGTTTCAAGCCAGACATTTTCAAAATTGTGAAGAAATAGGTGGTTTTTTTTGGTTTGTTCTTCTTTTTTATTGTGTTCCCAAAATTAAATAAATGTTAATCAAGTCACAGTGTTTTTGATTTTGTTTTTCTAAAATCTTGGTTTGATCAAATCTTTTTTTTTTTCTTGAGATAGAGTCTTACTCTGTCACCCAGGCTGAACTGCAGTGGTGCGATCTCGGCTCACTGCAACCTCCACCTCACAGGTTCAAGCGATTCTCGTGCCCCAGCCTCCCTAGTAGCTGGAATTACAGGCATGTGCCACCATACCCGGCTAATTTTTGTATTTTTGGTAGAGATGGGGTTTCTCCATGTTGATCAGGCTGGTCTTGAACTCCTGACCTCAGGTGATCCGCCTACCTTGGCCTCCCAAAGTGCTGGGATTACAGGCGTGAGCTACTGTGCCCAACCAGATCAAATCTTTTCTTGACATTTTTACAAGAAATTTTCCTAAAGTTCTTGATTTAATTGTATAGAATTTGTGTAATTAGGTGTATTTCATTTGCCTTTAGCTTTGAGGTATCATAATTTATGTATCTTATGTGAATTTTTTGCTGTAATACCAATACATATTTTCTCCACATGTTACATTGCATTTTAATTTGATATACCCAGTAATGGCAGGAGGTTGATGAACTTTGCTTCTGTAATACAATTTTAACTGAAATAGTAATGTTAAAACTCTTTGGGAAATGCATGGTATAGATTGTAAGTAGGCAGCTATTTACATGATCCCCAAATTCCAAGTTTAAAATTCTGTATACTTCTAGTATGTTTCTTATTCAGTTTCTATTGTAAATAGCAGGAAAAGGCAAATGTTATGCTTCTGAGAAATTGCCTTTTCTAAGAAGTTGAAACTCAAAAACAGCTTAAAATGTTAATGGTGAAGGGAAAATAAAGCATAGATTTCAGTTCAATTTAGTATTCTAGTCATAATAATAGTACGTACCAAGCACTCTTCTAAGTATTGGAACACATTTAATTCAGTAGAGAGGTTTTGGTGTTCTAATCCTTTGTGGTCAGTTCAATAATCCCCTAACTGCAAATTCCTTTTGATTTATCATTTTTAAAAAACTTTTCGGCAACAGTTATTTTTAGTTTGAGTCTTCCAGTAGTCACTCGCGGGGGTTAACAAGAATAGCAGGACCTACGAGTTGAAAATAGAAAAGAGGTAAAATGTTAAAACCAACAGCACTTTTACCATGAATTTATTTATTTATTTTTTAGACGGAGTCTGGCTCTGTTGCCCAAGCTGGAGTGCAGTGGTGCAATCTTAGCTCACTGCAACCTCCGCCTCCTGAGTTCAAGGGATTCCCCTGCCTCAGCCTCCCGAGTAGCTGGGACTACAGGTGCATGCTACCATGCCCAGCTAATTTTTTGTATTTTAGTAGAGACGGGGTTTCACCATGTTAGCCAGGATGGTCTCAATCTCTTGACCTCGTGATCTGCCCACCTCGGCCTCCCAAAGTGCTAGGATTACAGGTGTGAGCCACTGCGCCCGGTCTGACGTTTTTTTATAAAGAAAGATAAAGGAATTTTGAAGTGCCTTTCCTGAGACTGGCTAGGAAAGTGGAACTTGAGTTTATATTACAGGGTTTATAGCTCCCCAAGGTAAAGCAGAGACTTTTTAGAGGGGAACATTTGAAAAACAACTAGTTGACTGAATTGGTAGGTTAAAAGTAAGTTAAAGTTGACCCTTGAACAACGTGGGTTTAAATTTTGCAGATCACTATGTATACGCGGATTTTCTTCTGTTTCTGCCACCCTGAGACAGCAAGACCATCCTCTTTTCCTCCTCCTCTTCAGCCTACTCAGCATGAAGACAAAGATGAAGAGCTTTTTGATCATCCATGTCCACTTAATGAGTCGTAAATATATTTTCTCCTCTGATTTCCTTTATATTTTTTAGCTTACTTTGTTGTAAGAATAAAGTTTATAATACGTATAACAAAATGTGTTGATTGTTTATTAATGTATTATCAGTAAGGCTTCCAGTTAGCCATAGGCTATTAGGAGTTAAGTTTTTGGGAAGTCAAAAGTTATATACAGATTTACTGCTACATAAGGTGTCAATATCCCTAATCCCTGCATTGTTCAAAGGTCAACTATATTTTACCTTTTTTTCAGAGTTAACTTCAAATCCTAGTAATGAAACACAAGGATAGAGGACCAAAACCAGTGGTAAAATGCCATTTATGTGTGTTACCCACAAGTAAACATGATTCGATAGGCATCTCATTGGTACTGTAGGAGAAAGGAGATTATATGACGAACTTTTCTGGAAAGCAAAAGACGTCTTATGACCACTTAGCGTCTGTGAGATGGCAGAATCTAGCTGTAGTATGATTCTAATTTTTTTTAAGGTAAACATTAAGAAAGTCTAGAGAATTCATTTGCAAACCCAGTAATCCTTTTTCACCCCCGCTAAATAGTGCTGATTGTGCATTCCCAAATTTCGCCTGCTCAGGGGAGTTTGCAGGACCTTAACCTACAGTCTTGGAGGGGAACTATCCTTTTAGGTTTTCAAGCTTTTAAAACTTGAATGCTTCCAGATTTACATGTGGGACAAGTCTAGCTCTAGTTGATAAAACTGCTTTGCAAGTAGAGATCCATATGCCTCATGTAGAATGTAATTTCAACATATTTCTAAGTAAAGGCTTCTTTGAACTTAAGTTGCACTTTTTAAAAGCACCCACTAAAATAGGGTAGAAATGTAGAAAATTTAGAAAAATTGACGTACATTTTCAATTGTGTATCAAATATAGCTTGAAATTTGGAATCAGTCTCTGAGTGTGCTATTTGTCCTATGAGCCTAACTGCATAAATATGACATGTGGGCAGAAGGAACATGTGAGTACAAGGGTGTCGTCAAATGGTGCATGTGACCAAGAGCATTCAGTGACCATGTGAAGGACTAGCTTTTTGACTAATGCCTCGTCCATGTTGAGAAGACAGTCATAAGACTGGAAGGAAGCACTGACATTTGAATTTAGGTTCACACCAGAGAAAGGCATTAGTCATTTACTTTGAAATTCCGACTTTTTCCACCTTTTCCCACTCTCTAGTTCCCTGTGCCCAAAGTATAGTTGTACCAAAAACATCCCCTAGCCAAAAATACAACATTAATGTCTACAAACTTAGTTACATAACCCCTATTCTTTTAAATTCATACTCTTTATTGTATGCATATGTATAATGAGGAATATTTTTCTCAAAATGTTGTATGTGGTCACAAGAAAGTAAACTAGAAACTAATACTAAACTCCAAGTAAGAATGGAACAAATGGGAACTTTTTGTGTTCAGCGCTGTACTGATTTTGGCCACAAGATGGTGCTGTAATCCTATTGCACAATTTAGTATGTGACTTGTGCCATTATGGGGAATCTATTTTCTACCGATACAGGAAAGATTATGTCTATATGGCACGGGATTACCATGAAATATGACTTTTCAACGCCCCTTTCGGCTCTCATATTCCATGAATACTTCTTCAGGAGCCAGCTCACCTTGTTCTTCCCTCGCCTTTGGATGTTACAAGAATTTGATGTATGAACAGTGCACCTCTGATGTGAAGGTATGGATTTTTGAGCTCTTTTCTATTCACTGAAAAGAAGGAAGACTGCAGGGCTGCCATAGATAAAACTTTTAAAAGACTTTTTTGCAGGCCTCTTCTTGCTGTTTCTTTCTTCCTACTTCCTTTTGTTGATAGGAGAAGATGCACTGCGGAGGCAAGGGAATCCTGTGTCCATCGGGACAGTTCCTGAAGCCAGACGTAGACAGTCTTCCCATCAGGACGGCCAGCTCACAGCATCCCTCAGCAGAGGGGTGTGCCCTGAGGATGCTCAGCTGCTGGCATGCTGCCCAAGTTCTCCATCCTAAGCCCACTTTGTTTTTTTCCCCCTCAGTTCATCCCTGTTCCATCTCCCCCAGCCTTAGTTTGCAAAGCCCCTCAATCGTTTCCTCTGGGACCTAGAGGCTCTTAACTTTGGTTGGGTATCAGAGCACTTACTTGAAAGCCATGGTTCTCTCTGTATAATACCAAGAATGATTACTAGATCTAATCCCATCATGTAAACTAATCACCATTTTTCCTGGAACTTCTGCAATCAAAAATCACAATCACACATGCTCCTGAAAAAAGAAAGATGTTTTGGCGTTGCTGATGTTTGTGCTTTCCATGAATACTTACTTGTTCATTTATCTGCCTGCCTATGAGTGTTTGCTAACTACAGAAGACTAATGGTTTAAGAAAACTTTCTGGGAGAAAAACAATTGGGAAAATTAAAAACATTAACTTATTCCTTCTTCAATTGAGGAAGAACTAACTACATTATTTGATTATTCAGAGTATCTTTTCATCTGAGCTGTTGCATATTAAAATCGCAAATGAAGGCCTGGCACAGAGGCTCATTTGCATGTAACCTCAGCACTTTGGGAGGCCAAGGTAAGAGGATTACTTGAGCTCAGGAGTGAGACCAGCTGTGCAGCATAGCAAGACCCTGTCCCTATTTTATTTTATTTTTAAAATTTTAAAAATTTCAAATGAACTCAGTTTGCTCTATTCTGATCCTCTTTTTTGCAGAAGACGTGAGTAAAGAGGTCATTGGAAGAATATTTCCGAGAGGGGAAGAGTTTGACTTTCTGACGATGCTTCCTGTGCATCAACTATTGATGTTAGCATTTTCACACGAAGACGTATCAGTAAGGGCCAGGAGACATTTAGCAATAGACTTACACAGTTAATAAGACAAATCTAGTTTTAAAACATCAGCTGACCATCTTCAGATGAACTGACTTGACACTGATGTTCACGGGGTTCCTGGCCGTCCACCACCAGGACTCAGTTCTTGGTCCTGGGATTTTTTACTGTTTTTTGTCTAGGAAGGATAGGCATGGAGGCCTGCCACTCTTCTCTTGACCTTTGGCAAGAGATTATAAACTTCAGATGAAGGGGGTATAGCACTAAGAAATTTAAAATTTCATTTTCATTTTGCCACCTAGTATTTTTTTTTTTTTTTTTTTTAGAGATGGGGTCTCAGTAGGTTGCCCAGGCTGGTCTCGAACCCTTGGGCCTCCCAAAGTATTGAGATTATAGGAGTGAGCCACTGCACCAGGCCCCTAATAATAATTTTATCTGCAAACATTAACAGTGTACTTGGTGTGATGAAGAACGGTGATTTCTGATTTTGCAGATTTCTCATTTAAATCATACCATCTCTATTTTTATCTTCAGGATTCAAAAGAGGGTCAAGATGGGATCATAAACTTAGATGAAGGAGGTATGGCACTAAGAAATTAAAAATTTCACTTCCATTTTGCTACCTAACCATAATTTTATCTGAAAACACTAACGATGCACTTGGCGTGATGAAGAACAGCTGTTTCTCATTTTGCAAATTTCTCATTTAAATCACAACATCTCTATCTCTTTTTCTTCAAGATTTAAGAGATGGTCGAAGGCACAGTTTGGGAATCCCCAGAGAAATGGGGCTCTAAAGCCAGTCGTGTCTTCCACTCTGGCCTCCCAAAGCAGACTCTCAGTAGGCAAATGACACAGTGTCTTTCAATGTTCACAGGAGGTCGAGGACATAGAAGTCACCTCCCAGCTTACCCAGCTCTCACCTCTCTCCCAGCTGTCACCACTGATCACTCTTAGGAAGTGGGCAATTGCTCATCTGCTGGCCCAGGGGAAACGCCTGCATTCCTGCTCTTTCTTACTCCCCCTGCATGTGAAGCTCATGTATTATTCAGTTTTTCATTTTCAGAAAACAGCACTCCCGGTACAAAGGCCATTCCCTTGGGCCTCTTTGTAAACTTCTGTTATGATTGGGATTTTCTTTTGCTTCAAAATTTCCTGTCATATCTCCTTTTTAGGACAGAGTCAAAGGCCAGTAAATCGGAGCTTTCAGTGTATTTGTGTCAGTACCTACTCTCTTCCTCCACGGTGTCCAAGGCAGAATCGGAAGTACCCATCTCATGACCTGTCAAAAGAATGACTACACTGATGGTTTGTCTGTTTTAACAAACGTCTGTCATTTTGTTACTTTAGGAAAACTGCAGCCTGTCTCTTGTTCAAACTCAGTGTGACATCTAATCTATATGATAAATTACTTGCTCAAACATGTCTATATACTGAGGCTGGAGGACTGCTTGAGGCCAGGAAATTTGAGAGCAGCGTGGGCAACACAGCAAAGACCCCCATCTCTACAAAAAAAAATTTTTTTTTTAAATTGCCAGGTGTGGCGATGCATGCCTGTAAGTCCTAGCTATTCAGGAGGCTGAGGCAGAAGGGCTGCTTGAGCACAAGAGTTCAAGGCTGCAGTGAGCCATGATCACACCACAGCATTACAGCCTGGGCAACTGAGAGATCTTGGAGTGATGGTGTAAATGAGAACTTTGCAAAATGAGAAATCACTGTTCTTTATCACACCAAGTACACTGCTAATGTTTGCAGATAACATTATTATTAGGGGCTTGGTGCAGTGACTCACTCCTGTAATCCCAATACTTTGGGAGGCCCAAGGGTTTGAGACCAGCCTGGGCAACATAGGCAACATACTGAGACCCTATCTCTAAACAAAAACAATTATTAGATAGCAACATGGAAATGGAATTTTAAATTTCCCAAAAAAAGTTTTAAGGAAAAAAAAAAAACATGTCTACACAGCAAAAATGATCTATCACAGGCCTGTACTTTTTGTGGCAGTCTCCAAGTCTAAATTTATTTCAGTTTCCCTCAGGGAAAGGAGTTTCCATAAATTTGATCATTTTGAAGTAAGACAAGGCCTACAGACCATTGACTTAAAAGATATCAAAATGTAAGCCGGGCACGATAGCTCACGCCTGTTATCCCAGCACTTTGGCAGATACCTGAGGTCAGGAGTTTGAGACCAGTCTGGCCAACATGGTGAAACCCTGTCTCTACTAAAAATACAAAATTAGCCAGGGGCAGTGGTGCGTGCCTGTACTCCCAGCTACTGGGGAGGCTGAGGCAGGAGAATTGCTTGAACCCGGGAAGTGGAGGTTGCAGCCAGTCGAGATCATGCCACTGCACTCTAGCCTGGGTGACAGAGCAAGACTCTGTCTCAAAAAAGAAAAACAGAAAAAAACAAAGTACACATACATAATTGTGAACAGCAAAGCTCAGCCCACTTGACAAATAATTCCAAATGGCAAACTGATGGAGTGCCGAATGTGAGGTTTTAATGTATAAAGGCAAGTAGGACTCAAGGGCTAAAAAGAAAAAATGTTTTTAAGTTTTGGTAAATATTTTAAACTTAAATTCTGATTTAGGTTAGACCACATAAATCTGTAAGAAATTAGTTTTTTAAAAAGCAGGCAAATGGTAACATCAGAATTAGGATGTTTGTAGGCTGAACGCAGTGTGGCTCATGCCTGTAATCCCAGCACTTTGTGGGGATGAGGTGGGTGGATCACTTGGGGTCAGGAGTTCAAGACTAGCCTGGGCAAGATGGCGAGGTAAATCTCTATAAAAAGAAAAAGGAAAAAAAAAGAATTACGATGTTTGAGTTCAACTTGGAAAGTTACCTCAAAAAAAACCAAAAACAAAAACAACAAAAAAACACAAAAAACCTGTCATTTCGAAAAACTCCTGCCTATCACCAATCACCAAAAATGAAACAGTCCCTGTTCCCTGAGATTTCCAAAATACATGGCACCCAGCAACTTCATTCTGCACTTGCTACAAAATCCGTTTCTTTGCTGAGAATTCTTAGCCATTGCTGGAGTGAATGTAGCTAAGATTAGAACTAGGATTACTGTAGTAGTTAACTCTGTTGCAGTGGTCTATAAAATGAGGCGTGTTGAAGCGGGTAAAAATGTTTGATTGTCAGGTCTAGAGGAAAAGGATAGGAAAAGTTTCCGGGCTTTGAATTTCCTGATGTTTACATAAGTACAAAGGTTTATAAGAAGCTGACGTATGTTTAAAAGGCTCAGTTTCTTCTATTGTATTTTCAAATAGCAGAGAAATAGCTTTATTTTTACTACTCATAACAGTTTATTTTTACTTTGTACAAAATACAAAAATGCAAATCCAAGGAGTACAGACCAGTAGTGACAGGCACACTGCACAACAGCAACCTTGTCTAGCAAGACATGGGTTTTTTAAACTTTATTTTAGTGAATACATGCATTATATAAAACAACAACAACAACAACAACACAAAGAGGCTAGAGATTTCACCGTTTCTACCCCCAAAATAATGCTTGCTATCAAGACTTTGGAGGGGGATGGGGGAAAAGAATTTAAAAGGCAAATAATATTTTTTTCATAAAAAGTAAAAGCTACCATAAAACATTTTTTTTTCTGTCACACTGATTAAATTTCTTCTGAGAAGCCGCACATATAGACAAAACAAAACAAAAATTCCTGAACTGGACAAACAGCAAATACTCAAGAGGGTTGTTAACCTAGGTAACAGTTCAGTAGTTTAAGGAATCTTTTAGACATTTCGAAGCCTTTCTAGTCATTCCTCAGTACAGTGTTCCAGCCATCCTGCTTGTTTTTTCCCTCCAATACCTCCCAGAACAGAAACGCTTGCATCAAGTCTGTTCCTAAGAACTAGTTTTGAAAAAGAAGCGATGTACAAAAATATTTAACAGAACTATGAAAGATGCAGGAAAGGAGTCTTTCTTT